GAGCCTCTCCCACTTCCTTCCAGTGCTTCTTGGAGGTCCTGGCTGGCATAGACACACAGGAAAGAGGAGCACCATGAGGCTTGCACATTGAAAGTAGTATTTACAAAGTCAGGGTCAGAGGCCATCAGCTAAGCAGGGTGGCCAGTTACAGGTTGCTTTCTTCTGCGTTGCAACAGCAGTCTGAAATTAATCTTTTCGGGAATACCATTTACAGTAGCATCAGAGTATAGTGAAGCCCAAGAACCCTCTCTCCCCCAGAATATAACATTTAACATATTTTAACTATAAATTGTCAGACTTTGTTGAAAGGAGAACTTGAGTAGAGGAATAGTTCATTTTTCTGTACTAACATACTCCATGCTGAAAACTTATATGTTCTCCAAATCTGGATAGCACAAGTAAAGGTTCATGAACAGTCCAGCTGTGAGGGTGAAGGACTCTTAAGGCAGCAGTGGTACAAGGAGGGACAGTGCTGGCAGAGGAGGGTCCTCTCTGTGCAGGCATGAGGGCCTGGGACTCATCCAGGGTAGTCTCAGACTGTCCATCCTCCTGTCTCCGTTTTCTGAGTGCTGAGACTGCGGTGTGTCTACCTTACCAGGTAGACATGGTCATTCAGGTGATTCATGGATTGTTCTTTTTAAAGAACGAAATACGGGGCTGGAGAGATGGCTCAGCGGTTAAGAGCCCTGGCTGCTCTTCCACAGGTCCTGAGTTCAATTCCCAGCCACCACATGGTGGCTCACAACCATCTCTAATGGGATCTGATTCTCTCTTCTGGTGTGCATAAAAACAGAGCACTCTAATATACATTAAAAAATAAACATTTTTAAAAAAGAACGAAATAGAGGGATAGAGAGACGGTTCAGTTGTTAAGACTACTTGTTCTTGGAGAAGACCCGGATTCAACTAGTTACCCACACAGTGACCCACAACTGTCTGTAACTCTAGAGAACCCTGCGCCACCTTCTGGCCTCTGATGGTACTGTACACACATGATGAATATGCAAGGAAAACACATGCAACAGAAAAATAAGTAAATCTTTTAAAAAACCTACAGAGCAGCAGGCATGGTGGCACACCTGTAATCCCAGCACTCGGGAGGCAGAGGCAAGCACATCTCAGAGTTCGAGGCCAGCCTGGTCCGCAGAGCAAGTCTAGGACAGCCAGTGTTACATGGTGAGATCACACCTGACCAGAGATTCCTTTTCACTAAAACTTGCTGGCTTAAATGTGAAGCCGCCCTCCTGCCTTGGTCTTCTGAGATGTGTTCATTCCAGCACACAAGCACTCGGTGGACGTGTGTGCTCCAGCTGTGTTGATGACAGGCAGCAGGTAGAGGAAGGATTGGCTCTTGGGGTTGGTATTTGCTTTGTGTGCTGTATATGTATGGTGTGTATGTGTGCCTGCAGGTCCGTGTGTGTGTGTGTGTGTGTGTGTGTCCCTTGGCTTTTTTTTTTTCAAGTCGGTGTTCACATAATGCCCCTTGGCACAGTGAGTCAAATGAGCCTGTTCCGTCACACAGTTCCCGAGTTGGGTTAAAATCTGTGCCTGGAGTTGTGAATTAAGGACACACTGCAAGTTTGTCTGTGCTGTTGGCTGTTGTATTAGTGACTGTCAGGACTCAAAAACAACCTGCAGTGTTCTTCACTAGCCCGCAGTGGTCTCCAGGCCCCTAGCTCACCATAACCAATCATCAAGACAGCCTGGAGCACAGGCCTTGTCTGCGCACTGCAGTGAGTGCATCTCTGTTTGCTTCTTAAACCCCATAGTGCATCTTGAGCAGCCCCTGGTGATCAGCGCCCATCCCTGGAATGACGGCTCTCTCCCTGTGGCATTCTCCTTGCTCCCCTTCATGAGGTTATATATAAAGCTGCACGTGTGTGTGCCCATTGTGCTTCCCAGTCTGGCTGAGCACTAGTGCACATATGAGGGTAACGTTCATCTATGCAGGATGAAGCATGGTCCTCTAACACTCTACCCCGTCTCTACCCCCTTGTGCTACCCTATTAGCACAGCAGAAAAGAGGATTAAAAAAAAAGTGACCAGGAAGACCTAAGTTAACCTGGACTTTTAAAACATGGAAATATTTGACAGGAAGTGTGTTATTTTAACTTTGCAGCCCTGTTTTCACTGCTGTTGTTCTTTTAAATACTAGCCAACTGAAGTATTTTAATTTAAAAATGTTTTTTAGATTTATTTACTATCTTATGTGTATGAGTGTTTGCCTGCATATATGTATTTTGCAGCACATTCATGCCTTGTGTCCTCTAAAGTCCAGAGGAGGGCTTTGGGTCTTCTGGAACTGGACACAGATGATCCCAGGCTGCCATGTGTTATGTGCCGGGAATCAAATGTTGGTCTTATTCAAGAGCAGCAAATGCTCTTAACCACTGAGCCAAACATCCAACCCTTATTTTATTTATTTACTTACTTATTTTTGTTTTGTTTTGTTTTGGTTTTTTTTTTTTTTTTTTTTTTGAGATAGGGTTTCTCAGTGTAGCCCTAGCTGTTCTGGACTCTCTGTAGACCAGGCTGGCCTCAAACTCTCAGAGATCCGCCTGCCTCTGCCTCCCGACTGCTGGGGTTTCAGGTGTACACCACCACTGCCCATCTCTCCAGCTCTTATTTAATTTAATTAATTAATTAATATTTTAAGACATAACTCATTGTGTAGCCTCTTTGCCCAGAACTCATTATGTAGACCACACTAACCTAGAACTCAGATCCACCTGCCTCTGCCTCTGCGAGTGCTGGGTTTAAAGGTGTGCGTCACCACCGCCCAGCTTAACCTGTAGGCTTCTTAGTTCTTTGTAGTGCTGCGAAGATGAATGGACCACAGAATCTACATAGACAAGCTGTGACAACTAGGCGTTTATTTAAAGCATTCTGGCAAATTGAAATGTGAACAAAGGTGTAGAATTGATGAGGGTCAAAGGCTAGTAAGAAAACCAACCCTTTCCATGAAAAGCATTGGGTGTTCAGATGGCCAGCAGGCTTTCAATGTTGTGATGACATGAGGTGGCTCTCATGTTCTCTCAGGTGTCATTTATCAGGTGTACATTCCAGCCTCCTTACCCTGCTTCAGGGCTTTTTATCTCTGTGTGGTTTGAAACGGGTTATGGAATTCATGTAGCAGTGCCTGCGTGCCTGTTCTCGCTGATGTTTTAGCCATTAAAGATTCAGATAAATAAAAGTCATAGTCAGAAGGCACCTGCCCTCACATGGCATCCACGCAGGAAGTGAGCAATCCTAAGCAAAACAGCTGCCTAGTCACATACAGACGGACAGATGGACAGACGGAAGAAAGGAAGGAAGGATGGATGGCTAGATGGAAGGAAGGAAGGGCCTTGTAGAGTACCTGATCAGGAGCTGACAGTAGAGGTGGTACATGAGGACTGTCAAGAAGGACGCGAGCTGAGGGACAGCAGTGTGTGGAGACACTTGCTGGGGAGGCTGGTACAGAAAAGTTCAGGATGCCTCACACTCACAAAAGGGAGTTATGCAAGTTCATCTACCATTATGGCCACATTTGAAATTAAACCAGAGGGGGAGACTCAAAAAGAAAAACATTTAATGTTTTTATAAGTCATTTAAAAATGTAATGAATTATAGACTCATACCTGTGTACCTTACACCTGAGAAAGAGGCAGAAGGGTCACTGCAATTTTGAGGCTAGCCTGATCCTCCATCAAGTTCTAAGCTAACCATGGCTATATTCCAAGAACTTATCTTTTAAAAATAGCAATAAATCTATTATATATGTATATATATATTGAGACAAGTTAACAGTTTTATGATAATTGATATATTCTCCAAAACAAAACTTGAGAGAGAAGAATGGCCTGGTTTTCTATTTTGGGACTCCCTGTAATGTCTGGTTTACTGATGGGTGACTGGTTTCTCCCCTGTGCATCTGTTCTGTACCAGCCTGTGGCCATGTGATTCCTCGTTTGGATGTAGGAAGGTATGGTCTTGAGAGAGACCCTTGCAGAGAATTGTGAACATCTTGCCAGAACGTAGTCAGTGGTTCCTTGAGGGGAACCACTGCATGTGACTGAAACAGATGAGCTGCAGGCACATTTTATTCTATAACAATCCAATGGTCTCCTGAATACTTGAAGTGATAGTTTGGCTCTTGAGTAGTATCATAGTTCCATTTGCTAATCACTAGGAAAATACTGACTGGTTGAGGCACACAAATGCTCTACAATATGGTGCCAGCCTTTGACTTGCTCCATGTGTGTGCATGAATCCCCTCATCATCAGCACCACTGGTCACTTCTTAACCCAGAGAAACCATCAGACTCACACTGGTAGATACATTTTTCTGAACTTCTCAGAATCCTGGACTGTCGTGTGGAACTGTGTTTGAATCCAGTTTATCTTCATTTCTCGCCAGCCTGACAGTGACCCTCTAACCCTCCTTCGGTATTTTTTCTGTCTCACTATAAAGGGAATGGAAGGTCGCAGTATCTTTAAGTAAGTGCTCACTGAAGAAGTCACAGTTATGATTACAGTGCCTGGCTGTTACTACTGCCATTGTGAGTGTGTCACCCAGAGTGAGGAGTGGAAGGGACTTTGAGGGGCACCAAAGGGCCACCTTTACTGCAGGCCTTTGGGCAGATGCAGTTGCTGTGTGTTGGTGAGCCAGAAGCCCTACCCCATCCCATACCTGGTCACTCCTGCCTCTGTCTGCTGCTTGTTCTCACCTTTTTATTTTGTTTTTTGTTTTGTTTTATTTTGTATTTTCTTCTCAGCTGAGGGCCTGGAATGTGAGTGTTGCTGCTCAGAAAGCATTTGTCCATTGAGTGCCTTCAGAGGGGTTGGTTGTGACAGCCTGTGAGCTCAGCAATGACCAGCTGTGGGCCACACACACCCCTTCACTGTTTAAGGAATATTTAGCCACTCTTCCCCTCACCCATCTCTTCAGAGGCTGAGCAGTGTCTGCTGGGCCCTGTGTGCTAAGCATCTTTGTGACTGCCCTCCGTCTTGCCTTTCAGATGTTCCTCCTGCGGATCAAGAGAAGCTTTTTATCCAGAAGCTACGTCAATGTTGTGTCCTCTTTGACTTTGTTTCTGACCCACTGAGTGACCTGAAGTGGAAGGAAGTAAAACGAGCCGCATTAAGTGAGATGGTAGAGTATATCACGCACAACCGGAACGTGATCACGGAGCCCATTTACCCAGAGGTCGTCCACATGGTAAGTGACACAGCACACTCAGCTGAGCTGCCCATCCTAGCCACACCAAGGAAAATCCTTCCCCCACGGTTTGGACAGGCCCCAGGAAGAATGAATGCCATGTATCCTAATGGGGAGAGGAGCTGTTCACATTCATTTAACCCTGAAAATGTTAGAGCTTGGTTTGTGTTCACTGTGATGTTGTCTCTGAGTTCTTTGGCTTGACTTCTTAAGCATCTGTAACATGAGTGTTGGTGCCCTCGTGTAGTTTAGAAGTAAATATTGTGCCCATCCATGTGCAGGGAGATCCCAGCACTCAGAAGGAAGCGCGTGCCCGGGGTAAGGGTCAGAGCTCTTGTTCTGCCCTTGACTCTAACTCTCTCACACTGTGGAAGTCGACCTCAAGGCAGGAATTGCAAGGAACAGTATTGAGTGTCTTCACAGCCGCTTTTGTGGTTTTATTCTTCATGTTACATTTGTAGTCAGTCCTCTTAGAACTTTTTCTGATGGCACATATCAGGGGTGTAGCTTCATTTTCTTCTGTGATTATTAAATTTGTTCTTAAATCAGATATTTAAGATCCATTTTCTCCATTCATTTAAGATGACTGTATTGAACTTAACTTTCTTTTAAAATTAAATCTCTTTCTTGGTACCTATTAAGTGTGTTAATTAAGTCATTTACAGTATGGAATATTTCTGTTTTTAAACAGTCTTGGCAGCCAGTGTTGCCTAATTTATACTCTTTAACCAAGAAGGAAGAATCTTCCTTGTTTGGGTAAAATGCCTACCCTTGAGCTAAGCTGCTTGACTCAGCTTTTCACTTGTCTTCACTGGCGCAGGGGGCAGCACCCACGTGCTTGGGCTGCTCTGGAAACTGCTTCTTGGGTTAGTCATGGCTCGTACTCCTGTTGCACAGGTGCTTTAGCTAGAGTCTCTGCTTCTGTCCTCTGTTTTCTCCCCTGAGCATCATGCCCCCTCTTGGTGAGCAGGTGGCTCCCAGGAGATTTTGACGGGCCTTTCTGGAATCACCACTGTGGTCGGGCACTCTTAGGGGGAGAAAGAGCACATTTCTGCCCTCCCGGCACTTCTGTGCCATGTGGGAGACAGGGTGGAATAAGCCAGCCAATACTGTAGTGTTTTAGACAATGGCAGTACTGGAGAAAAGCAACAGGGCTGATGTGACTTCAGCTCCTTTCCCATGTGGATGAGAAGATCCAGAGAGAAGAGAGTCATGAACAACTCAGACTGTCAGATATCTGTGTGTGTGTGTGTGTGTGTGTGTGTGTGCGCGCGCGCGCGCGCGCGCCTGTATGTGTGTCTTTCCATCTATCTGTCTGTGTGGCTTCCCCGATCTCCTGTCTGTCTGGTACTTTGTGAGCAGACCAGGAGCAGGGAGAGACTGGAATCTTGTCTTGCTTGTTGCTGTGTCTGCATGCACTGACAGTATATTAGTTACTTCCTCTTACTGTGACAAACTCCCTGAGTGGGGAAGGTCATGGCGGTTGGCAGTTCTGTCTGTAATGTGACTTGTGCTCATCTTTATGAATCAGGAAGCCAAAAGAGCTCTAACCAGCCTGTGCCCATCAAAGCCCCACTTCCAGTGACCCGTTTTTACCAGCCACACCTCCCACATCAGAGGTTCCACCCTCCCAAAACAGTGCCATATGCTGGGAAACAGGTGTTCAAACACATGCCCCAGGGGGACATTTCAAACTAACAGACAGCAGTGAGGAAAAGTACAGTGAAGAAAGGCTGGGCTGGGCTGTGGCCATGGTGTGTGATACTGAGACACAAAAAGAATATGTGGAATTTAGGCAACCTACCAAGGCCTCCATCTCTGTGAGTCCTGCTTTGGGTCCATTCTAATGAGAAGCTCTGCAGCCGTCAGCCTCGGCTGGTGGCCACTCACACAGCACTTCTTCCATACTTGACAGGTACCTGCTACTATTCCTTCTGTTTGGAGTATATGTAGTTTTGTTCCTGTTGTTTTTAGGGACATTAATTTCCACTAACTTTGAAGACTCCACAGCAGTGTAGCTGTACAAACATTGCTTCTCTGACTAGCATGCTGTGTGCCTTCTTAATGGCTGTTAAGATGTTCTTTATCTTGTAGTTCACCCCTGCCTAAGGAATTTGTGTTTTTGACATAGAGTATATACACTCATCATTTCTAATGGTACAACATTTCTCCCCAAAGGAAATCCTGTCTTGCTCCCACAGCACTGCTTGCCCTGAGCAACCTTTGACCTGCTTTCTGTGTCTGTAGATTGACTGTCCAGGAAATTTCATGAAATGGTCTCATACAACATGTCTTTCATGGCAAGCATTTCCAGAGAGTCCCATATCATAGCCTATGCTTGTATTTCATTTCTCAGTTTTTGAACAATTTTATCATAATAACCCATTATATAGATAGATTTTCTTGAAATTTCTGAATTTTATTTTTATTTTATGTGTATGGGTGTTTTGTTTTGTCAGTGTACCATGTTCCTCAAAGGCCAGAAGGGGATGCCACATTTTCTGGGACTAGAATGACAGATTGTTGTTAGCTGCCATGTGGGTGCTGAGAATCAAACCTGAGTCCCTGGAAGAGCCATCTATCCACTCATTCATAAGCTGGTGGACATGAGGGTTATTTCTGCTCTTCTGTTTGTTTTAGTGTGGTTTTGAGGCAGTCTCACTAGATAGCCCTGGCTGGCCTGGAACTCACAGAGATCCATCGCCCGCTTCTGGGAGGGCAGGCGGGCACCATCATGCCAACTTAAACTTGGGCCTTTACACATAAAGCCTCCGCGAAGCAGCACCGGTGCAAACTGTCCCTCTTGGGTATGTACCTAGCAGTGGAATGTTCTGTGTGCTGCATATTGTGAAAAACTGCCAGACTGTTTTCAGAATGGCCGCACTAGCTCACACTCCTGTCTCTAGTCTTGTGTGAGCATCTCTTCATACCTCCAGAACCTACTTGTTTGTTTGGTTCCAGTGCCCTCGTGAGTGGTGCCTGGCAACTCACTGTGGTTCCGACTGGCATTCTGTCTGACGTCTTTTCATGTGCACTGTGTATTTTCATATACAAAGCAGAGCCCTACAGACCAGCTAGTGTGACCCTTTCCCTTTCCAGACTAAGGAACTTTATATTCCCATCTGGGGAATGTGCTGAGCAGCAGGATGCAGAGAGCACACTTGGCCTTCCGGTTCTCAGGCTTGCATTGCAAAGCACCATTGTGTATTCACTATAGACATATAACCAGCCATACACATTTCCAAGTAAATTATCTAGTTAATCTGTTAATTTCAGGCATGGACATTTCCTAATGGCAAAAATGCAGGTGGCAAACTAAGCTGCAGTGTGTTTCTGATGCTCAAAAGTAATCAAGGAGAGACTGCTTGTGGGCGCTATTTAAGGAGGTACCTTCTAGAGCTGGAGCCTTTCAAAGTCTGAAAAAGACTGGATTTATGACCCGAAGCTTCCAATCTTCGTCCAGATCATCCCAGGTTTCCGGTTCCCAAGACCTTTCAGAAAATCTGTAAAGTCACATATTTCCATAGTAACACCCAAGACTTTTACTCTTCTACTATGTTGGCATTGTGCTGGTGAGGCAGAGGCAGTAGTGGGTACAATATCTGAGAATGAGAAGCCAGCCAGTGGCCCTAAACTGACTGCTGTGTTCATATCCACACACCCACAGTAAGTAGGTGTGGCTAAAATAGTGGACTATTAATGCCATTCCGTCAATGACCTTTTACTATGGTGTGATGAGCTATGGAAGATGGCTCTGTTGTTTGCACGGTATACAGGGGCCCTGAGCCAATGCCTTCAGAGGTGTGCAGTGGAGTGGTACAGAATTTGCCACTTTTGCATGGAAACTGTTTCTGCCTGAACAATTGCTGTTAAAAACCTATGATGTAGACTTCTGTATTTAACAGGCATTTTTCTAAAATAAAAAAAAAAAAAAAAAAGGAAAGTGAGACTATACTTCCAGGAAATAACTGATGATACTTATTGTCAGCATGTGAACTTCCAGTGGATTTGGGCTTGGTAGTATGGGTGTGAGGTAAGTCAATCAGGATCAGTATAACTCAGCATATCAGTATTTTCAAGATGACGTAATCAAAATCAGGCAAACAATCTATTCACAGCTGTGTAGCCCACTTGGGTTTGACTAGAAGCAGGAATAGATCATCCCCTGTTCGAGTCTCTGCCCCAATAGCACGTCACTTGTAGCAAATGACTACTAGTCCATTTTTGTTGTAGTACCAAAGAAATCCGTTTACCTGGCTGCTGAACGTTCCTCGCTTTCAGTTCATTGCTGGGTGAGGCAGTATAGCCCTGCTGTTCTCTCTACAGCCACGCCTAGGGTTTTAGCCGGGGCTCTTGAGAGGACTAGAGCTGGTGCAGTGAATGATGCATAGAAGGGGAGTGTTGGCTTTCTCGGAAGCTGCATTTACACATTTACTACTCTCACTTTCGGCTAATTTCCCACACAACAGACCCTCATGGATAGAATGGCAAAATGTTCTTTGGGTCTCGGGTAATTTTTAGGAGCTTAGCAGGATCCTGGTTCCAAAAATCAAAAGAGCAGCTCTTATCTTACAAAGTAGCTGTCATCAGAGGGCCAGGTACCCCTGGGGGTGCCCTGCAGAACTTGGCGATCCCCTGCCATCCCGGCTGCTGGCAGGTGTACCTGTCAGAGGTTAAACAGAAACTCTGGCTTCCTCTCTGGGGCAGGCCCGAGTCCTGGAGACATGCTGGATGCACCGAGGAGGTGGGACTGTTGGCCAACATGGACTTGCCATGCTTTCTAGAGAACAGCAAAAAATACTGAGACGAGCAAGCACGGCACGTGCACGCGCGCCTTCTGTGCAGGCAAGGTGAGGAGGCAGGCCGCGGCACTGGTGGCCTGGGCCTGCGGTAGCTCTAATGCTGTCACAGTCAAGTGTGCTGCCTGAACGCTGAAGGGATTGAAAGACCAGTTAGAAGCGCAGCTGCTCAACATCCCTGCCCCAAATGAGTTTAATTTA